AAAAAAAAAAAAAAAAAAAAAAAAAAAAAAAAAAAAAAGAAAGAAAGAAAGAAAGAAAGAAAAAGAAAACAAAGGAACAAAAGGGAGGGGTCGGTGCTTAAGCTTAAGACTGCTTGCCACTCTTCCAAAGGAGCTGAGTTTGGTTCCCAGTGCACATTTCAGGAGGCTCACACCATCTGCAAGTCTGGATCCAGGGCACTCACATCCTATGCTTGCCTCTGCAGGCATCTGCGCGCGCACATCCATTTAAAATGATAATTTAAAAAATTATATCTATTGCCAGGTCTGCTTACAGCTGTATTCTGAGCAGTTTCTGTCCAATGAATGAACGTTCAGTCTCGTAGTGACTCCAGAACTACTTGACTCCAAAAATCGGATTTTACCTGCCTCCCGCGTTGCATTCCTCTCAAAGTCTAAGGCGGCTGAAGCTGGTGGGTATTCTATGGCTGCTGGTGGACGCTTTGCACCTATTTACCCCACCGCAAACGAATAGTGGGACTTTCGCTCCCGGCCAGCAGGGGGCGTGCACGCATCGTGTTCTAGAGAGCCCCCCCCCCCACCTCCCTAGGATGAGCCAAACTGTCTGCCTCCCCTCCTGATGGGGGAACCCATTATTTTTTAGAAAGGTTCAGTTTAGACCGTAGACCCTGCTCAAGGCACTTGAAACCCGTCATCTCACTGAATATCTGAGATATTGATATTACGGTGTTTACAGTGATGATACTCCATACTATTTGTGTCCGTTTTATAAGAGCTAGCTGGGTCCAACCCTTGACGCCTCCTTCGCCTTTCTCCACCCAGGAGACCTGGGCCAGGGTCCTGGCCGAGAACCACGATTCTCAGAGAGCTGACTCCTGCCCAGTCATGCCCTAGTGGTTCCTGCACGTTCTGGGTTTGTCACCATCCCCCAAACTTCCTAGGTGTTACCTTGAGCAGGCCTGCCAGGTCCTTGTTGCCACCCGCCTGGGGCTCCAGAGGGCACATCCTGCTGGAGTTAGTTCCGGCCACCTGGTACACATTAGCGGTGTGTCCTGGGTGCTGGGGAGATGAAGGTCGGCCAGAGGAGAAGTGAAGGGCTTCGCGTTCTCAGGCTGAGACCTTGTCCGTTTGACTAGGAGAGAAAGAAACTTGTCATAAGGAAATGGCCTTGCCTAAGGCTGCTGTACTGCAGAGGCAGAGGCAAGGTTGGTACCAGGCACTCTTGGAAGTCTGTTTTAGACCTCAGTAGATCATGTTCTGGAGGGGTGAGGAATTACTTCCTCCTACTGCCCCCCACTCCCACCTGGTTCTGTGCTGCCCGGCTTTAAGTCAAATTCCACCACCAGCTCAGAGCCTTTTCCCTGAGTTCGAGGCATTGCCGTGGGAAACCCACCAGACGGGAATCTGGGACAGACTTCTAAGGTGCCACGCACTTTGAAAAGGCAACTTCAGAGCTCCCGTCCTCCAGGTTCCCTCCTGGCTCGTGCATTGGGTGGCCACCCTCACCCTAGGGTGATTTGGTTCCACGGCATCCTCTACAAAGTGCCCATTCCCCGTTGCTATGGCTGTGCACAAGACTGTGAAGACGTGGCGTGGCCATGGTCGAAGATGCTGAGCTCCCGGATCTGAGAAGTAGAGATCAGCCAGCTAAAGGGCGAGCTGTTTCTGGACACACCAGACCCAGAAGTAGACCTCCTAAGGCCGCAGTGGTTTGTGGGAGTCTCTGCTTCTCCTCCTACTGTAGGTCAATTTCCAAATGGAACCTTCTGCTGGAACAATACATCACATTCCCCTTCATCCTGTGGCAGCCCTTCCATGCCCCAGGGTGACCAGAGACCACCATGCTTTGAAAGTGGGGCGCCAGCAATTAGGAAGGCTTGTGCCTGGGATGTCTAACTCTGGCCAGGTTTTTTGTTTGTTTGTTTGTTTTGGGGGGGCACAGAAAGGAGACTAAATTTTCTCAGTTTTTCAAGACAGGGTTTCTCTGTGTAACAGCTCTGGCTGTCCTGGAACTCGCTTTGTAGACCAGGCTGGCCTGGAGCTCAGAGATCTGCCTCTCAAGTGCTGGGTTGAGACAGGGTTTTATGTAGCCTAGGCTGGCTTTGAAATTCCATGGTGATTTTGATCTTCCTGGTACTCTTGAATCTACCTCCAGTGTACTGGAACTACAGTGTCCCATCATGCCTGGCTTACACCTTGCTGGGGCTCCAAGGTAGAGTCCATCATGACAGGTGGGTTCAGGCAGAAGTTGGAGACAGCTGGTCACAGAGTGTCTGCAGTCAGGAAGAAGCAGAGAACCCAATAAATGCTTCCTAGAAATTAAACCTTCCTAGAAGTATTCTCAGAGACACACCCAGAGAAACGTTTCCATGGTGACTCTAAATCTATCAAGCTGACTTGAATATTAACTATACTAACCAGAGTGACTCTTAGGGGCTCAGCACGTCTGCCACGTGGGTAATTATTGTTAGAGCCACACACAGGCAGGAAACTGATGGGTTAATGATGTAAAGGCACAACAAGAGGCTCTGTAAGGATTCAAACCAAGAGCCAGTTCTTTCTTTTTGTTTTTGTTTTTTTGAGACAGGATTTCTTTGTGTAGCTCTGGCTGTCCTGGACCTCACTCTGTAGACAAGGCTGGCTTCGAACCAACCAAGAGATCTGACTTCCTCTGCCTCCCCAGTGCTTGAATTAAAGGCATGGGCTACCACAGAAGCCGCTCTTTCTACTGTATTCTTTTCTTTCTTTTTTATGATTTTTGAGTAAAATGTTCCAACATTTTGCTGGATCAAAGGAGGGTCTAAATAATACATATATCATTTTACTGATAATAAGACTTTTATATTATAAAAGTTCACATTTATAAACAGCATGTGGTGGTATACACCTGTAAACCCAGCAGTAAAGGAGGTAGAAGCAGGAGGATCGGAAGTTCCCGTATCCTGCCCCCCCCCCCCATTCCTTACCATATATAAACTGTAACCCGTCCCTAAATAAACGGAGGCTTTGACAAATCTGCTTGGCCTTCTTCTTCTGTCTTAGCTCATTCCCTTCCAGGTAGCGCCCCTCCGAGACCCTGGAGTAACTTGATTGCGGGGTGGGTTACAACCCCTAGACTGAGTAGCCCACCCCAACGCAATCGACACCTCTGCCTCCCCAAGTGCTGGGGCTAAGAGTGTGTACCACCACTACCCGGTGGTACCTGCCTTTAATCCCTAAATTTAGGAAGCAAAGGCAGGAGGATTTCTGTGAGTGTTGACGCCACCCTGGTCTACAGAGCAAGCTCCAGAAGAGCCAAAACTAGACAGTTTTTCTCAAAATAGAAAAGAGAACGAGAGAAAGAGAGAGAGAGAGAGAGAGAGAGAGAGAGAGAGAGAGAGAAGAAAAATACTTTTGATTCATTTATTTAAGTAGTATGTTTTGAGGGCCTTTTAGGTGGACTTGGCAATAGAATGGCATGCCCCAGCCTTGAACTTCAGAGAGTCCCCAGTGAGGGAGTCTCTGTGATGTCCATGGATTGCCACTGAAGCACAAAGCCAGGAAATGCTGGAAATCAGTTTCAAAAAAAAAAAAAAAAAAGCCAAACAGCTGAGTTTTGAAGGCTGTTTAAAGTCTGCTCAAGGAAGTTAAAGTGGAAAACATTCTTCCAGGCAGAGAGAAGCCACAGAAAGGCAAGGGCGTGAAAGTTTACATGGTACGCAAGGAACAAAGAGGGATTTAATATAGTCAGACAGTAGTGAGGTCAGGAGGAGAGGGGGGGGGGAGAAGCAGAAAAAAACTGAAGGAGGTTTCCCAGGAGCCCTGTGTTCCGGGCTAAGGATTTGGTCTTCACCCTGTAGAGCACCTGGAAGACCGTTAAACAGGCAGGCAGGTATCTGCTAAGGATGGTTTCTGGACCGCTGTAATAAACCCAAGTGGATGGGAGTGGTCTATTGAGGCCAGATACTAACGGGAAAGAACAGGGGGGCGCCTGCCGGGCTTTGACACCAGGTCCTGCTGGAGCCAGAGCCAGGATGCCTGTGCAGGGTCCTGAGAAGGCGGTGCTGTGATAGATGACCGGTACCTTGGTCAGTCTACCCGTGCTGAAGCACCTGTGCTCACTGTAGTCTAGTCCTCTCCTAGAGGAAAGCTTGCTTTTTCATTTAATTCCTACCGCAAAGAGGTAACAAGGCTTTAGGGTATTTACAGGAAAGGGCTGATGATATTTGGCACGTTTACCATAGGAAATCGGCTGAGAACACCTGGTGGTGCAGAAGCTTGATAGAAAACGCGTGTCTGTCTGCAGAATTAACACTGAATTCAGATTTTGCCTACCGCCTACCAGCCTACCAGTTGGGCATGCTGAGATGCATTCCTTAACCACTGAGTCTGTTTTCTTACCTGTAAAATAGAGATGAGTGGTGGCGCACGCCTTTAATCCCAGCACTCGGGAGGCAGAGGCAGGCGGATCTCTGTGAGTTTGAGGCCAGCCTGGGGTACAGAGTGAGTTCCAGAACAGCTAGTACTACATGGAGAAACCTTGTCTCAAAAAAAAAAAAAAAAAAAAAAAAAAAAAAAAAAAAAAAAAAAAAAAAAAAAAAAAAAAAAAAAAAAAAACAAAAACCTAAACTAAAGAACCTTGATAGTTGTTGGTTGCTAGTCAATGGTTAAACTAACAGAGCAGGTAAGGAGATGCTGCCTGGCAGGAGCCCAGGTTCATCTTTCCCCTTCTGAAGGTCTCTGTCTCTTTGCCCATGAAGCAGGCTGCTTGGTGCATACTCCTTGAAAACAGGACCCCCCTTTCTTCTGTCTTCAATGGGCCCTGCCACCTTGGCACCTGGTGTGTGCACACACTGATATGTAGCCTTTTGGATTAGGTGACGAGTTTCTGAATTGTGAGTGCCCAGAACTGTGTGTCTGGCCCACCTGCCTCTACGGTGGGGAAGAGGCAGGCCTTCTAAACTCCATGTTTGTCTCAGGGCTTTAGGATGTTCTCAGGTATTTGTGGCACCATCTGCCCTTTTGCCTGGCTGGGCGCTCTCCCAGGACCTGGTTGCCCCTCTTGCAGGCACTCTATAAAACACGTCTGGCCCTGGATCCAGACAGACTCATAACACTAATGTTGCTTTTCCATTTTCCTGGAAACTTCTATAGCTGCAGCCTGGAAAGCATCCAAAAGTTTCCCCGAACTAAAGATAACAACAACAACAATACGTTTTTAAACATTTAGAGAGGCGAAGGAAGAGAGACCCTAAGGCAAATGTCCCTGTTGATTACTGCTCAGCCAGATTCCAACGGTAGGGACAGAAAAGGGAGGATGTTTCCAGGACAATTTAAACATTCACATGGCTTCTTTTAAAAAGACAGTTTCAAAACAGTCGACCTCCCTGGGGCAATTTAAAAAAAAAATCTACCCCGAAGGCAAAAGCTTCCCCCCCCCCCCCCCCCCCAATCTGGAAAGTTTTCTCAGCAGAGGCCCCAGCACATTCCTGAGTTCTGGCTCAGGGAAGGACTTTCCCAACCTTCCAACATTCCGGGCCCTCGCTCACCCTGCTGACCTACCAAGGGTTCTGCTTGCTCCACCCCCAGCAGCTGCATTCCAGCTGTGGCCTTGCGAAACTGCCAGGAATCCTAGGGCTGCAAGGTAAGTGAGGAACGCGCCTCCTGACAGCCGAGGGCCCTGCGGAAGTCTAGAAACCCGGAAGCCCTGGAGCTGACACTGGCTAGTCTCTACAGCCCACAGGCAGGGTGGGCTGTTGATTTAGGGACAACAGCATTCTAGGAGGTCTTGCAAGATTATAGGCAGGGTGGTCAGCCTGAATCTCCCCCCAACCCTCAGCTGCAGTCAGCTCAACTGTCACCAAGTTCCCCTGGTTGGGGTGGCAGGGCAGGGGATGCTGGAGCCCTGATATTATCATCTGGGGCTGCAGAGTAGGGTTAATGGAAGTTGCTTCTCTACTTGGCTGGCTGGCTCCCGTGCTGGCTGATTAATCTGGATTTCTGAGAAGTCTGTGCCTTCTCCCTGGGACTGATGGCCACCCAGAGACACACAGCAACAGTTAATAGCCGTAGGAAAGCTTTGGGGATCTATCCTCATTTACAGCCATACTACCTTGAATGTGTTCATCTTAGCTAAGCAAGGTTGGGCCTGGTCAGGACAAGGATGAAAGAGACTCCATTCTCCAAAGAGAGGAGCCTCCTGCAGTCTTCCATCCATTCCAGGGCCAGAGCATGAGTCTGAAGAAGAGGTGGCCTCTGTCCCAGGAGACAATCAGGTCAAATAGTGATAGACTGACCTGTGTCTTCGTTCTCCCTCCTGCTGTCGTTCCCACTTCCAAATATGCCCCCCCCCCCCCTTAGCTCTCCTTGTTCCCTACTCCACTGGTCTGACCAGCCACTTCCTATACTTCAGAGTACAGTCTACAGAGTTACCCATGGAAGCTGTACTTGCCCCCACCCATGACAGTAACCCCTGAGCCCTTGAGACCCTAGGAGGAAAGCACCGGGAAATAGGAAAACATTCTCCCTCCAGAAAACAATGGCTTCCGGGGCCTGTGCCAGATACACTCACAACCCCCGAAATAGTCTCATTGTTCTCTTGTGCAATATCCAGGAATTTGGTGAAACTCATCATTTTTCAGGTTACCGATAATGCAAGTTTGGAAAGTGAAACAGGAAGAACGCAGGCTGAGAAAGCTTTTATCCAGCCGCAGAGTCTCTCCAGATGCAAGATAGGTTTTTTTTTCTCCAGCAGTCCTTTGGTGGGGTTAAAATTAGCTGGCAGCATTCTGGTCACATGGCAGACAACAAAACAAAAGGGAATTGTTTCCTCAGACGCTCCTGAACTAGTCCCACCGACCTCCTAACCCATGGATTTCTGGGATCTGGCTCCCCATCACCACCCCGGCATAGGAGAGGCCACACCACAGGCTGCACGCAGGGATTGCTCTTGCTGTAGCAGAGGAGAGTGCAGATAGTACCGAGGCATTTTGGAATCCTGGTGCTTGCCTTCTCTGGGAAGGCACCCTGGGACTCCGGATTGCCATTTACAATTAATTCTCCCAGAAGTCAGCAAATAAGCAAACACTGAAAGGTGACCATGGTACCCTTTGCCTTTTGGGACAAGTGGCTGTGGCTGTCAGGATGATAACGTGAAATGAACACGCCCGAGCTATAAGTGACAAGGACTTCAGACAGATTCTTTATCTCTGGACCCTGATGACAGGACAAGTCAGGATCTGCCTCCCATTTAAAGCTATCACCAGCAGCTACGAGTTAAAAATACAGCCTCTGATTCACGCATAGTCAGGAAACCTGGCTGTGCTCAGTACAGAAACACGTCCGTCAACCTGGGAAAGGAATCACCGCCAGGGATATGCTCTTAGCTTGCCAAAGCTTAGCAGCTGCAAGAGCCAAAAACCCAGCTGCCTGGACCGTCTGGGGAAAGGGGGTTCTGAATCACCTGAGTTCTTCCTCAGCTTCAGCGTAATTCTAAGCCAGAACCATCTTGAGATGTCTCAAGGGCAGATTGCTCTTTAAAATTATGTTTGAACACTAACCTTCAATTCTGGATCTGCTAGCAAGGTGAAGCAGATGGCTTTTATTGATTATTTATTTGGAAGGCGGTATTCAGGAATCAGAAAATTCCACTGAGATTCAAACACTTGACCCTGACCAAAAAAAAAAAAAAAAAAACACAAAAACAACAACAACAACAACAAAAACCAATCATGAAGAGACACCCAGAGAGTCAAGCTCAAGGCACTGCAGGTCAAGTTCCACCAAATGAGACAGGTCTAGTCCTTTGCCTGTGTGGGCTTCCATGACAGTGTACACAGTAGGAAGGAATACCGAGATTGGCCCCCCATTCTCTGGTAGTCTTCCCATGCTTCAAAACAAAAGCCGTCTTCGACTCTTACCTCTGCTTGAAACCTCATTAGACAGACAGAC